CGATATCATTTTCATAAAAAGCGCTTCCCAAAACCTAATAATTGACTCTAATATCGATTTAATCAGATATGTTAGAAAAAGTCGGGGTCCGGGGGGCCCAATCTCAAATTTGATATCATTTTCATAAAAAGCGCACCCCAAAACATTAGAGTCGACCCTGATATCGATTTAATCCAAAAAGTCAAGGACCGCGGGCCCAATTCCGAATTCGATATCATGTTCATAAAAAGCGCCCTCCCAAAACATAATAGTCGAACCTGATAACGATTTAATCCAAAAAGTTAAAAAAAGTCGAGGGCCGGGAGGCCCATTTTCAAATTCGATAATATTTTCATAAAAAGCGCCCCCAAAATTTAAGAGTCGACGCTGATATCGATTTAATCCAAAAAGTTAAAAAAAGTCTAGGCCCGGGGGGCCCAATCTCAAATTCGATATAATTTTCTTAAAAAGCGGCCCCTAAAACATAGGAGTCTACCCTGATATCGATTTAATCCAAAAAGTTAAAAAAAGTCGAGGCCCGCTGGTCCAATCCCGAATTCGATGTCATTTTCATAAAAAGCGCCCCCCAAAACCTAATAATTGACTCTAATATCGATTTAATCTAAAATGTTAGAAAAAGTCGGGTTCCGGGGGCCCAATTTCAAATTTGATACCATTTTCATAAAAACCGCCCCCCAAAACATTAGAGTCGACCCTGATATCCATTTTAATCCAAAAAGTCAAGGCCCGCGGGCCCAATCCCGAATTCGATATCATTTTCATAAAAAGCGCCCCCCAAAACATTATAGTCGAACCTGATAACGATTTAATCCAAAAAGTTAAAAAAAGTCGAGGGCCGGGAGGTCCATTTTCGAATTCGATAACATTTTCATAAAAAGCGCCCCCAAAATTTAAGAGTCGACGCTGATATCGATTTAATCTAAAAAGTTAAAAAAAGTTGAGGCCCGGGGGCTCCAATCTCAAATTCGATATCATTTTCATAAAAAGCGCCCCCCAAAACATAAGAGTCGACCCTGATATCGATTTAATCCAAAAAGTTAAAAAAAGTCGAAGTCCGGGGGCCCAATCCCGAATTCGATGTCATTTTTATAAAAAGCGCTTCCCAAAACGTAATAATTGTCTCTAATATCGATTTAATCTGAAATGTTAGAAAAAGTCGGGGTCCGGGGGGCCCAATCTCAAATTCGATATCATTCTCATAAAAAGCGCCCCACAAAACATAATAGTCGACCGTGATAACGATTTAATCCAAAAAGTTAAAAAAAGTCGAGGCCCGGGAGGCCCATTTTCAAATTGATAACATTTTCATAAAAAGCGCCCCCCAAAATTTAAGAGTCGACACTGATATCGATTTATTCCAAAAAGTTAAAAAAAGTCGAGGCCCGGGGGGCCCAATCCCGAATTCTATATCATTTTCATAAAAAGCCCCACCAAAACATAACAGTCGACCCTGATATTGATTTAATCCAAAAAGTTAAAAAAAGTCGAGGCCCGTGGGGCCCAATCCCGAAATCGATATCATTTACATAAAAAGCGCTTCCCAAAACCTAATAATTGACTCTAATATCGATTTAATCTGAAATGTTAGAAAAAGTCGGGGTCCGAGGGGCCCAATCTCAAATTCGATATCATTTTCATAAAAAGCGTCCCCTAAAACATAGGAGTCGATCCTGATATCTATTTAATCCAATAAGTGAAAAAAAGTCGAGGCCCAGGGGCTCCAATCTCAAATTCGATATCATTTTCATAAAAAGCGCCCCCCAAAAAATAATAATCGGCCCTTGTATCGATTAAATCGGAAAAGTTATGAAAATTCGAAAATAATTATTATTTTAAATTTATTTTCAGGTATCAAGATATTTTAGTTGTTATTAAACTTAATTTTAATTCGAAAATTTGGAATTTCTGATTGATTTATTTGACCCTTTATTTTATTTATTTATGACTATTTTGACTTATTTATGACTATTTCTTCTCTACTCTTGATTCCTATTAATGTTGGTGGTCTCTCCTTTCTCGTTTCTTTAAGTGCTTTATAGAATACTATAAATAAAAAATAAATAAAATAAAAATAAAAGGAATCAAGAGTAGAGATGGAGTCATTATCTGGTGGAATGTGGAGAAATATAGAGATGGCAAAATTATTTTAAGGAATTGTTGGAAGGAACAAATTTAAACTCGAGAGGAGGATTACATTGATGAAGAAGAACGGCAGTAATCGATATCAATGATGAAACTTGATAAATCAGACGGACTCAATGGAATCACAGCGGGAATGAGATATATGGACAGTGAAGGGCAAGAAATGTGTCTCCATATTTTGAACCAGGTGTGGAAAAAGATCCCAAATGACTGGGTGGTGGCAATCATAGTGCGTATATATAAGATGGGAGATAACAGGGACTGTGGCAATCATTGAAGTATATCACTCCTTGGTGTGTCCAGGAAGATATAATCGAGAATCCTGTAGAAAACAGTCAGAAGAATCGTTAAAAGCAAAATTGAAGGAGAACTATATGGATTCAGGAATCAAAAAACACTCAGGATCTAATTTACACCATGATATAGATCATAGAGAAGAGCATCTGTAACATCTATATACAATCCATTGCTGAAAGATGTTCTGTTCGGTCAAGAGAGGCTTCCTAAACCAAAGGGGGGTAATAAAGAGAATGAAGATGGCAGTATACAGATCAGTGTTCCTTGTTATTCTACCTTATTCTTCTTAGTGTTTTGTTGAAAAGAAAAGCATACCAATACTACGTACGATATACACCTGTGGACATTTTTTTTTTTAAATTAAATAACTATAAATGAACTTCTTAACGGCAATTCTGTCATTAGACAAACTTCTATTAGAACATTTTGGCTTGATTTGTTAAAAAATTGCATTTCAACGCATTGAATATGTCAACATCATGATAATTCTCGTCAACTGTTGGCTGGAACTTCAAAAACCACCATTTGTTAGTTAACTGAAGGAGAACGCTAGTAGCTTAACAATTAATTTTTTTTAAAACAGTATTATGTCGGAAGCAGAATAGTCGATAAATAATAATAAAAATAACCACTATAGTCGATAAATAATTGACTGTGGTAGATATGTTGAAGAGAAGTTTATTGGTGTTCAGTCAGAAAGTAACAAAATAAAAATAAATAAATTATATTTATTTTTATTTTTTCTGACGTTTCGGCCCAAAGTTCAGGCCTTCATGTGGGCTAAGAAAAGGCAAAATAACATAGATATGAGCAACTGTTAGGCGGTAAAAGTAATAATATTTATTTAAAAGGTATAGTCTAATAACATGTACGTGGAATAAACTTAATATTAATAAATATGTGGAAAGGCAAATATATGATATATGAATAAAGGAAATATGAAATAATATTAACAAAGTTGGGAATAGAAAGTAGCGGAAGCAAAGTTAAAATATATAAGATAACAGTAACAAAGTAAGGAATTTATGAAATACATAATAACGGTAACAGAGTTAGGAACTTATACCATTTATAAATAAATGGTATTTTAAAAAATTTCTGTGTTGAAATTATAATTTTTTTTCTTATGCCTCTTGACTTTCGGCTTCCGCAATGAGTCTTCTAGCAACTGTGATAGTTTGGCTCTCTTCAAACGTTAAGTTCTTTTGAAAATATCCTGGGAGAACGTGGTTTACAATAACTGGACATGATCACAATCACTCCCTCTTCATCAGGCACTTACCTGAAGGATGGTTGTCAATTATTTGCAGAAATCTCCACTCTGTTTTTTATGAGATAGGATTATTTGTCCTATTCCTAGCCTCCAACCTGGAGGACCAGGGAATATGCATCCTGGAGGACCAGGGGATATGGTGTAAGACACTGGGGTCGCTCACCTCCCTGTGATTCTCTGGATGCTGACGTTATCATTCCCATGCGGAAGTCAACACCACACCATAATGGTCCAAGCAAATGAGTAGCATCTGCACTTATTTATTTATTTATTATTAATCATTTTTATTTTTATTTTTGTTATTAAATCGATTTGAACTCATGCATCTACACGTTGAGTGAATTTTTGCAGGCATTTAACTTGCTTAACCTTAACTCGTCCGTTGAAATTAAAGTAAAAATACCGATAAAAAAAACAAAAAACTAATTACTATTTCTTTAAATGTACAGGATAATAGAGATGGGTAGAGATAGAAAATTATCCATACAGTTACTGATATTTTTGTGATTTATACTAGAAACGTATACATTTTATGAGATGTAATAAATTGTCTATAAAGCTATACATTTAAACAAATAAAAATAAAATAACCGTACCAATATTACTGTTAGTATATTTTATCCAAAAGCTGTTAAAGTGATTGGTCGTACCAGGTTATATTTTTGATATATAACAGTTAAGAAATCATTGAATAATAATTATTGGATTTTTTTTTTTTTTTTTTAACCATCACTGTTTAGGAAAGGTGGTAAATCAGATGATGGATAATCAAGGTTCCAGGATACTATTCAAAGTGGAACTATTCGGCTACAAGCAGGAACTTTTATCACATTAGCATAGTTTTATTTCTGGCAGAGAGAAAAAAAAGAAGAAATATAGTTGTAGAAGAAATTTTGTTCTTAGAAATCATGTTATACCCATGCTTGAGCACTAAGAAGTACTTTCGATTTCTATATTTTATTTGTGATATAAAAATTTCTTTATAGTCAGGATCACATTACATCATTTACTCACACAGGCTGGGTCACTCCTTCTCTCTGCAGCTGTACATGCACCATTATTGGCTCGCCCAGACCCTTTGGAATTTTTGCTGTTCAATTACTGTTCATTACATATGTTAACTATGACCAATGTTTTTGAAGTTTTGAGGTGTTGCTGGATTGCTTTCTGGTCATGTTACTCCAACTTCCATCTAATTTTTAGTTTTGCTATAACTATTAATTTTATATTATAATACCTTAAAATTAAAACTATTTTGATTTTCATTGTCCATTTTCTGTTTGAACAGGTCGTGAAAGAAACTGATACTGACAATTCTCAGCCAAAGAAGAAAAAATATGCTAAGGAGTCCTGGCCAGGAAAAAAAACTGTTCCTACCCTACTTGTATGACTGCATCCAATCTACGAATAGGGAAAGCTCATTTGTTTGTAAATTAAAAAATATTTAATGTGTTTATCAATCAGTTCATTTGAAACTACAAAATTGTTTTTAAAAATTAAAATAAAAATTATTGAAAATAATTATTATTTAATTTCCTTTTTAAGTTTTGAAGCTATACATGTTAAATCGGATACCCTATGCAAATACAATTCAGGTCCATTTAGATAACATATTTAATACTCACCAAATTATGTAATTTCATTATTTCATTATTATACAATGCATTTTTAAAGTTGGCTGAATATGTGTCAGTCAGAAGAAAACTCAGTAAATGCATGAAGGATCTGCAACAGTGATAGTTTAGGAACCAGTTGTAACGGGTCCATTTAAGATTCAGAATATGGTTCATACCAGCTAACTAGGCCTTAAGTTATGGAAATAGGATTCATACATTCATAGTTGGCGCAACATCTAGGTCTAGGCATCCTCCAAAAGTCTATGTCAGTTGGCTCTATCTGTTGCTGCAGCTCTCCAGTTCTAAACGCCGAGGAGATCGTGTGCGTCCGCTGTGACGGAGTCAGCCCACCTGACATTTGGCCTACCTACTCTTCGCTTGCCATGAAGCTCTTCAGCTAATGTCTTTTTAGGGATCTCGTCCTCCTTCATCCTTGCAACGTGGCCCGCCCATCGAAGTTTCCCAATCTTGATCCGCTTGATGATATCAGTCTTGAGAGTTCCTGATTCTTCCTCCTTATCCAGGTGGCTCCCTCTCGAACCGGGCCAAAAATTCTTCTCAATATCTTCTGTTCAAACACCAGAAGGAGGTTCTCACTGGCTCTAGTGAAGGACCAGGTCTCTGACCCATACGTAAGTACCGGACGAATCAGGCTCTTATATAGGCCGATCTTGGTCTTGTTGGAGAGGTGTCTGCTTTTGAAGTATTTTGCTAGCCCAAAATAGCTTCGATTGGCTGCGGCAGTTCTTCTGTTGATCTCCTGGGATATGTCATTTTGAGTGTTTATTTCTGAGCCCAGGTATACGAAACTTTGCACCCTCTCAAATCTATATGGTCCAACTTCGAAAAAACCTGTCCCTACCTCTGATGGTCCTATTCTTAAATACTTTGTCTTGGCTTCGTTGATGACCAAGCCAAGAATTTTGGTTTCTTGTTCTAGAGCCAGGAATGCTTCTTTTAGGGCACGCTCAGATCTGGCAGCTATGTCAAAGTCATCTGCATACCCCAGCAACTGGAATGTACTGTTGAATAAGGTGGCCTGTGTTTGGATCCTTGATCTGCGTACTGCTCGCTCCACCACCAAATTAAAGAGAAGGCATGCAAGGGTAGCTCCCTGTCTCATGCCGATGTTTGTGGCAATAGGTTCAGAGAGGTCAGATCCGATACGAACCACGCTGTTCGACCCCAACATATTCATTCTAACCAGCTTCCTGGGTATGCTCATTTCTTCTAGCGCCTGGTAGAGCTCAGGTCGGGTTACACTATCGTACGCAGACTTGAAATCCAGAAAGAGGTGGTGTGTAACCATCCTTTCCTTGGTTTTTTCCAGAATCATTCTCAGGGAGAAGATCTGGTTCATGGTTGACCTACCTCTTCTGAAACCAGCCTGGTAGTTTCCTATCTCTCTTTCAGCATGGGGGGTGAGTCTATCGAAAAGGATGTTTGGCATCACCTTGCAGGCACTCGAAACAATACCCCTGTAGTTGTTGCATTCCGTTTGGTCGCCCTTCTTATGAAGCTGACAAATAATTCCTTGTCTCCAAATTTGTGGCTTCCTTTCCTCTTCCCATATTGTAAGGATGAGGTTGTGGAGTTCCTTTATAAGTCCCTCCCCACCGTAGCTAATCATCTCCGCTTGTATGCCATCTAGTCCCGGGGCTTTGTTATTCTTTAGCTTTATAATGGCCGCCTCGACTTCATCGTGGTCTGGTGGTTCTGCATCATTTGAGAGGTCTTCCACCCTTGAGATGATGCTGGCTTCCTCATCTGCATCGTCTTGATGAAGGACTTTTCCAAAGTAATGCCTCCATCTCTCCCTTTTCCGTCAGGAGATTTCCATCTGAATCCTTGCAGGAGGTGACTCTCGGTTTAAAAACCGACCTCCCTTCATTCACCTTCTGGAAGAATAGCCTACTTTCATGTAGAGTTCTGTGGGTCTCAACATCCTCCATTCTTTTGTTCTCACATGTTCTTTTCTTTATGCGGTGGATCTTCTTTTCCTCCCTTCTCCTGTTTCTATACTCCTCCTGTGATCACCGCGTGTAACGTTGGATCATCTTCATATATGCCTCGTTCTTCCGAATTGTGCATTCTACTCAGTCATCGTCGAACCACGCTGTCCTGGCCTTCCTTGTTTGAGGTCCGAGCGTCTCCTTAGCTGTATCTTTGAGAACTTCGGCTATTCCTGCCCACTGATCATTCACTGTCTCGCCTCTCTCTCTCAACTCTTCCGCGAGTTTAACTTCCAATCGCTGTCGGTATGTTATGCACTGTTCCATGTCTTTTAGTTTGGATACATCATATTTCTGTTGGTCCGGACCAGCTGCTACATATCTTTTTATTGATATTTGAGGGCGGATCCTGGCGATGCTCAAGAAATGATCCGATTCGACGTTTGCGCCCCTCTAGACTCTAACTCCAATAAGGTTAGATCTGTGGCGTGAGCTAATAAAATGTGGTCTATTTGGTTCATGACTGCCCCATTTGGTGATCTCCAAGTGGCTTTGTGGATGTTCTTGCCAGGAAACAATGTGCTGCCAATGACTAGACCTTGTGCTGCAGCAAAGTCTATGAGCCTTTGACCATTCTCATTCGTGCTTTCATGTAGACTGAAGGCTCCTGTTGTTGGACGATAAATGGTTTCCTGACCAATTTGGGCATTAAGATCACTAAGAATGATCTTGTTATCACTTTCGGGGCAGTTCCTGAAAGTGCTTGCCAATGCTTCATAGAAGATATCCTTATCCTCGTCTGATGAGACTTCAGTTGGTGCGTGACAGTTTATACTAGATAGATTGAAGAACCTTCCCTTGATACACATATAACACAGTCGGGAAGGGATAGGCTTGAACTTAAGGACAAGCTGGCGTGCCCTTCCTCTAACTATAAATCCTGTGCCAAAGGCTTGTTTGCTTTTATGGCAACTATAATATACTGTGTGGAACCTCTTTTCTAGTGAGCCATATCCGAGCCATCGTACGTCCTGGATTGCTGCAATGTCCATGCAGTATATGTCAAGTTCTGCAAGGAGCTCCCGGAGAGCTCCTGGTCTATGTAGGGATAACATGTTCCAATAAGCTAATCTTAAGCCATTATAGCGGTTCCTGGGTCTATTCCTTAAAATCAGTCCGGCTTCTGTGCTTTGTAGAGGTTTCATGATATTTAAATTTTGGGGGAATGGGTTATCGGCCCACTGCCCCGAGTCAGGTAGAGGGGCTACCTCCTATGAGCACCCTGACGCACGTCCCCATCTGGGGCGGCTACCCATGGGAGGTGACCCTGGGTTGTGTACTGTGATTGACCTTTGTCTGTTTTGAAGTGTGTTGTAGTGTGCTGATATTGAGTACTGTGTGCATGTTAGTGTGTTTCCCCCAACCTAGAGGACCGGTGGCTGGTTGCAGCCTTACGGCTGGGCGATGGGGCTGCCACATCCCTACACCAATGGAAATAGAATATCCTTCAAAATCAGCTAGTAAATCATAACGCTAACCAGTGTTATTTTGGTTTCAGCAAACATCTAAGAGGTTTAACCATTTTCCCACACCACTTTTAAAATTAAAATATCAATTTAATTTAACAATGCTATATTGTGGTAAATATTTTCTTTTTTTTCTTTTGGCACTATAAACTATCCAGTTCTTTAGTCGTTCAAAGTGGTCCTATTGTTATGATTTAATTTATCAAATGTTGAAATGCAAAAGATAGGATGGAGTTAGAAATACTGTGGAGGGGAGAACCCAACCTCCTCTCTGTTCTCAAGGACAAGTCATCTGTTTGTTTGGAAACGCTCTCCAGAGAACATGTTCACAGTTGTCAGGCGAGTATAGAACTAAATGAAGACTATCTTCTAGGGAAACAGTATCAAGATTATGGAGTGTAATATGTGAGATCAGATTTATTAGAAACACAGTATCAAGAAGCTATAACCATAGTAATTTTTTTCTTATTCACTTATCACAAAATTTATTTTTAGATTAAATAAAAATGTTTGATGTACTGATGTCGTTTATTAGATCCTTAATAATTCTCAGTTCACGAACCAATTAAGCACTCAACGCCCGATAAATTATCATAACATATAGAAATTAAAATCATAATTTTTATTTTTATTAATTTTTTCAAAATATTAGAACATTTGGGGGACAGGGACTTGTGAAAGTATTTAGTAAAAGAGAAGTGTGTCTAAATAATGGTTGGTTTAAATAATTATTAATTTTATGAAAATATTTGCTTATAAAATGAATGACAATATTGTATTAAATTGTCATAACATATAGCAATGAATTTGTTGAGATATATAAGGATAGTGTGACGGAAAATATAGCCAACTCAAAAATGGCAGGCGGAAATACAGAAGAAGGTTGTAATGAGAGACTGGATTTTCTGCAGTAAAAATTCGGAAAACGTGCAGTAAAAAACTCAAAATGTGCAAAATCGTGCAGTATAAATCTAAAATACGTAACTATTTGTATTAATAGTAGTATTTATTTGTATAAATAGTTAATTGTATAATTAATACCTAAAAACGTGAAATATCATCAATATTGTTTATTTTTATAACATTAATACATCGAAATCTTATCAGATCTTGAGTTAACCGAGAGATAAAAAAAATTGGAATGTAACATTGAAAATGAAATCCCAGATTATAATCAACTATTATAATAACGATTATTATCAAATAATGCAGAGCATTGAAGGTTTGAAAGAATAAATGAAGGCAGGAATTATAGGTGCCTATGTATATATTACATCGATCAGACCAATTTTAGATATATAATCATTACAAATAATAATGAAAACTTTATTTTTTAATAGAGTTGATGTTTCCAAATTATACATACCGAAACGTTTTGTTAAAATTTAAAGAATTTTGAAATATACTGTAATGTTTGAGATTTTCAA